ACTTTTACTTTCGCCCTCTGGGGGGAGCCTCGCTGGAAAATCAACACCGGTTGCATAGTATACCTTTAATAAAAAAAAAAAAGGTTTTGAGAGGAACTTTGCTGTTTTTTCAGATTTTTTTTATTTTTTAGATTTTTCTTTAGACAGATTTAATATCTGCAAAAGTTACGTTTTTATTCCTCCTTCCGAGTTTTACAAATTGCTTTCTTTTCAAATTCTTTACGTTCTCTTCACTTTAAGCCAAATAGAAATACTAGCTATTGACCAATGATGTTGTAGCTAGCTTCCAAGCAGACCAATAGAAATGCGTCTTCAGACGAGGAAAGCCCGCCCCCAGGAGGGAAGAGAATGGGATCTGGTTAAAGCAATTAGAAAAGAATACAGTTCAAAACTATAAAATCTGTAAACACTTTTTTTCTTTTAAGTTTAAAAATCTAAATGCTGAAATCATTTTAAATATTTTACATTTTTAATTTCTGGTTAGTTTTTTTTTCTTCTTCTTTTTTTTTTCAAATAAATGTTTTTTATTTCAATTTACAAACCATAATCACTGCTTATGACTTAAACTTAAGACAGATTTTATGTCTTTTTGTTTACACAAGTGTAAAACAAAAAGAAATTTAGTTTGAAAAAGGCTCTCTGGACAATTTCATCTTTTTAAAAGTGCAGCCTTGAAAAATAGTAAGAAACACAATAAACAAACTTATGAACTCTGTTAGTCACAACTAAACAAGCCCATTTAGTGTGAATTATATACTAGGATTTTTTTATTTATTTATGTGGAGCTTTTATTGACTCCTACAAAATCAGATTTGCATAATAGGTCTTAACTGCTGAAACAATCAGCGTTTCCATTGATCAACCTCCAGTTTTTCCTCTTTATAAATGTTTCTAAAGGGATCTGAAAAGTCCCCAAAAATAGCAGCAAAGCCTCTAAGCTGTAATCTTTAAATTATTTGTTTTCATGTTTTCTCAAACACATCATCCCGTCTCATCCTGAATGCATCCCATCATCCGTCCCGACCAATCGCTACGCTTCTTTAAAGGACCTAGAGTGCAGACCGACTCACCGTTCTGACTGCTGCTGTCCTCCCTCTCAGAGTGGCTGGCGCTGCTGCTGGATGTGGTGGGCGGGGGCGACGCCGCCCTACTGGACGTCACGCTCTCCGTCTCATCCAGTAATCTGTCCATGTAGTCCCTGAAACACAGCGGCGTCGGACCCGTTATACACGCCTGACCGAGGGTTAGGGTTGCTAATGCAACACTAATGTTAAACACTAGAGTCCATTTAGATCCTCAAAACATTGTAGGGCATATTGCCGTCTCTTGATCAAATTTTCTTAAAGTAAACCCCCCAACTTGGACATGTAATAGACCGATTCAAAGTAGGGAATCCTTTAAAAATGGTGAGAAAAGTGTTTAGTTTCCCCATTCGGATACCCTCACATCAAATCCAGGTTAATAGAATATCTAAAGCTTTAAATTTCATGAATGTAACATAGAAAAGTGTTTGAATGCACTGTAGATTCTGGGAAACAAGCAGGGAAAAGATAGAGATCTAGATCTGCAGTCACAGGGCCTGCTGACAGGACAAGTAAGCCCAATTTCTGGTGGCCTGGAGAGATTTTTGGTTTAAATAAAACAAAAACTGATCCTGTTCAACGTAATAATCAAGTCATTCCAGATTTCAACTTGCTAGTCTAGATTAAAAACTGTTATGAGGAAGAAAAACAAAACAGTCCCATCAGACTGAACACAACTTTTCCATTATTAAACATGGGGATGGAAGTGTCATGCTATGGGGAGGCCTTTAGCAAAAGGACAGGAAGTGGTTCAGAGTTTAGATACAGGGCACTGATAAGGGAAAAAAAAAGGTTGCAAAAGATGTTACACTCTGGAAGAGTCTAAAAATAAACTAAAAATAGCAGAGATGAGGGAAAATGTACTCAAACTATCTGAGCAATAATGTGAAAAATAGCCTTAGTAAAGTTCCCTCAAAATCAGTGGATTCTCCCTTTATTTGAGCAGGCAGGTGAGATCATTTGCCAATGGAATAAGATTATTTATTTTTACAAAAACAAAATGATCCTATTTCAAGTGCATAATAGTGAATTATCTTATTTTAAGAAAATTCTTATTCTATTGACCAATCATCTTATTTATACGGAAGAGGATTAGGGCCACTGGAAAAAAAATTTAACTGATTTTTTTAATTTTATTTCAGTATAGTATGGGAAAAAAGTCAGAATTCTAACTTTAATCTCAGAATTATTGTCAGAATTAAGTCAGAATTCTGAGATTAAGTCAGAAATTCAGAAAAAAAAAAGTCAGAATTCTGAGAAAAAAAGTCAGAAATTCTGAAAAAAAAAAGTCAGAATTCTGACTTTTTTTATTGTCAGAATTCAGTCAGAATTTTGAGGTTAAAGTCAGAAATTCTGGGAAAAAAAAGTCAGAATTCTGAGATTAAAGTCAGAAATTCAGAAAAAAAAAAAGTCTGAATTCTGAGATTAAAGTCAGAATTCTGAGAAAAAAGTCAGAATTCTGACTTTTTTCCCATACTATACTGAAATAAAATTTAAAAATTAGTTAACTTTTTTTTCTTTTTTCAGTGGCTCTAATACTCTTCCGTATATTTACTTCCTCAAATGAAAGCAAATACACTTACTTTATGAAAATATTAACTTATTTTCAGACCAGTTTTTGCAGGATTAACAGGATTTCTTTAATCTTTTTTTCCAAAGTTATAAACTGAAATAATAAACTCTTAAAAGCAGATAAACTAACAGTTCTAAATCAAAGTCACCGTCCAGCAGGACAACCCATGCAAGAAAAACCCAAAGAAAGAGCTTTAACACAAGACTGGAGTCTCTAAATGCAAAAAGCTGCTAGAGATGTAAATGCAGCAGCTTTGAAGAAGTCTTAAAGGGCAGGTGAGAATAAATATACTTTCAATTTTTGGCTTAATTTGTAAATAAAAGAAATTCATAACTCGTTGCACTTATGCAATACTCTGTGTTAGTCTCTCGTTAAGAAACTCAGTGTAGACTCTCTTGGTTGTTTTTAAAACATAATAAAACGTATTACAGTTCAAGGGGAAAGAATATCTACTTAGAATTTATTTTTCTAAAGTTTTTATTGAAATATCCCGGGCTGTAAATCTGAATGAGAGAAAAACATTTCAGTTCATATCTGTGTGTTTTGCAGGATCTCTTTTGAAGACTTACGTGACTCCAGGGTGAAGGTTGTATTTCCTTTTTCCAAGCCTGGTTTGCTGTGCAAAGAAATCATAACGCTCAGACTTCTTCCACATGTAATAAAAGGCCACACATTCTCCTACAGACCTAGTTCTCACCTGAAAGATTTGAACCGGTAGAAATAAAGTCACCATTATTAAAATCATCCGAAGAGGCAGTTTGGTACAAGTCAAACACATGACAGATTAAAAATTAAAAGCTCATGATTACAAAATCAAATCTCTCATAAATAATTCATAATTAAAAACATTCCCAGTTATAATTAAGTTGTATAAATAAAAAATCTGTTTTATACAACTGAATAAATTAATTATTAGGACATCTCTCACCTTGTTGGCCTGTATTAAATGAAAATCTTTCCCATAAGCACGTAATCCTTGTTCAAAGTTTCTACATTCCTCTTCAGTCCAAACCGATATCTCCTCTGTTAGATAGAAATTAAGCGTTAAATCGGAATGTTTTCAACATTTTCAAAAATAACTTTATGCTTTCATTTATAGTCTAGAATAGGATTATTGACACACAGAGTGAACCGGATGGTAAGGAAGCTTTAAAGGACCATCACAGCTCATTAACAGAAACGATACCATAAAAAACACAACCTACGCAACAAAGATTGATCTTAAAATAAGATTTAAAATTCTTAAAAGTATTTACCCCTAATTTAAGCAGGTAAACAAAATGATCCGCGAGCAGAATGAGAATGTTTGCGCTTAGAGTAATTAGATATTGTGCCATGAAATGATATAAGGGATTTGTTGTTTTTCTTATTTTAAACACAAATAATCTTATTCCAATCGCAAATTATTTTACTTACCGGCTTAAATCATAGGTCAATACAGTTCTTTCAAGAATAATTGACTTGCTTGTATTTCAGTTTTTAGCAGTGTACATCAAACTGTTTTTGGGACTCACTGAAACTGCTTGTTTTGGTGTCAGACTAGAACAGAGGCCTCATTCTGATCCAACTTCTGCGATTAAGTCAGAACGAGATTAATCTATATTCAGGCACATCTGATTTTTTTGTGTTTTCAAACCCAAAATAAAAACACAATAATATTTTTTTGGCTTTCTGACTAAAATGGAAATCTGATAAACAGTAATCTGGCTTATCGTTTTTCTTTTTTTGTTTTAGAGAAGCAGCCTGACCCAGAAGTTCCTGCTGCCTCATATCAAATCAAGCGCCCTCTACATTTCTAAGATCTCTTTCAGGCACATGAGCCTGGAAGAGATCAGATAAATATAAAGGTGTCTTTCCATTCAGGGCCTTATAGGCCTAGACTCATTATTCTGGCATCAGTCTAATAAGAAAAACAAAAAGAAAAACATTAATTAATAAAAAAAAAATAAAAAAAAAATTCAATTGGATAGCAAATTATAAGAGCAGCAATAAATCTAATATGATATAATACGATTTAATGCTGCTGAATTCAGTAATAATTCTGAAATTGCACGTATCGGCCAATACCAACACAAGAAAAAAAAGCAAATATGGAACAAGAATATCCGCCAAACAATGTATCAGTGTATCTTTAATGTATATATGTACAGTATAAAACAACTGTGCAACATATGCCAAAATTGTAAAAAAAAAATAAATAAATAAATAAAACGTTTTTTTTTTTTTTTTTATTATGGCTGATGACATCATCATCCCAGACGTTCGTTTCCCTGATATAAAGTTATTGCGTAACATCACATGTCATTCCTGCGCTGGTATTGAATATAACAGTGGGCATGTTTACCTTATTTAGTGGCTGCAATGATTTGTCTAATATTTAGTAAATCACAAACCCCTCGCTTTGGCAACCACATGTCATTTCCTGTCAATGTCGTGGCAGTCAGCATTTCAAAATAAAAGCACCGATGAAATTTATCATCACTGCTGGGTCTAAATTGTTCCATATGAACCACTTTTGAATCGCCTTGGGTAGAACATAATTTTTTTTGATAAGTCCCAAAAGCTCTGAAAAAAAAAAAAAAAAAAAAAAGAAGTCCTCTTTGTCATCCAGATAAGCTCTGGATGAACCAGTCGGATTTGGATTCCTTGTAATCTACCCCCACAGAAAGCACAGATGCTTGGCAGTGGGCAGTGGCAGACCAGGCTCTGTGCTGGAGGTGAGTGAGGACAATGAACAGTCCTCTCAGGACTAAAGTAAAACAGCTTTTTTTAAAGCCACCTAAAAACTTCTTGAGAGCGTTCCTTATTTCTACCTTTTTTTAACATTATTTTCTCTGTATTCCATTTTAAGTGAAAACAAGCTTCACCTACAACCAGTCCCTCAGTGGCTGCCGTGTCGTGATTTCATAGAAAAGTTCAGCTCATTTCATCTCCATGCGCTGCGGCTGTTTGACGTCTCAGCTCTATCTAGTAGCACGAGGTGAAGGAGGAGCAGTGAACGCTCTGACCACGTGGGGTTCACCGCTCACAACTTCACTGCGTGAGCATCGCGCTCGGTCTGAATGCAGCCTAACTGGCAGCATTACACTTTTCGACCAGGCCAAGTTTCAGCCTGATTGTGCATCGTTGTGCCTCTCACAACCACCTCCCGCTGAGGAATAAAGTCAGGAGAAAATCAAACATGTCTGTAATCCAGTCGGCCGTCCTAAGGTCGCATCAGGGCGTTCGGCTGCACAGTGTGAGCTGTATATTTTTAAACCCGGCGGTGTCGTCGTACAGTTTGAGCTGTAGCTGTGTGCAACGACAGCGCAACGACAGTGTACTCTCGGTTTAATGCTGTGGGCAACTTTTTTTTAACCCAAGAGCCCTGTCAGTTTTGTAAAATACATGTTTTTTTGTTTTGTTTTTTTAATAGCAGGAAATAATAGACATATCAAATTAACATTAAATGTAATACAAAAACATGTTGTCAATTCAAGTCCCTTCAAAACTATAATAACCAATCAGTTCGCCGTATAAACACACAAATGGTTTCTTTCAGAGCGGTCCCAGTCATACAACTCAATTCTACTAAACATCTATGGGCTGAGGTTGAGAAATTATTGCAGAAGATGAGATCAAAAGAGTTTGTTTTTTTATGTTTGTGTATTGACTCAAGCATTTCTACGGTTCTCACCTCGAGCTGCTTTCACGTTAAACCTCAGTCTTCTTAGAGCTTCCTCTGAGTCAAAGTCACATTTCACCAGCTCATACAAAGCCTACAAAGAAAAAACAGAAGCAAACTCCAATTAATAATATGAAATAATTAATGCGTCTGATCTAAACCAATCAAGTAAAAAAATTAATGCTGCATTCACACCGACTGAAACGATGCTTGTCCACATTAAAGTCGTAGGGAAGCGGCTGTTCCAAAGG